CATGATCACCTGAATAGATATATAGCTTTTATAAGAGAGTCTAATACACGTTCTTCAGTCACTTTCCTACATCCATAAATGAGCTTCCCGTTGCCTTTTCTGCAAATATTTTCATGATATTTGTTCTGACGAGCTTTCCTAGTTGGTATCTGGAGTTTATGAATTTAAGAGCAGTTACTGATTGGCGGCAAAATCTCATCATTTTACATTTGAAATGATTAGGTGTAACCGCAAGTTGTATGCTAACAGGTTCTCTCTCGCACGCACTTCTAATTTGCAAAACTCACGGTTTTTTGCTTTCTAATAAATCTTGAACTTCCAAAATTTAAATGCAGTGTCAATCTTTAAATTCTGTCTTCTGAATTCCCGTTCTTTTACTTTTCTCTCACTTTAATAATGCGTTCTATTTCCCACATTCTCCACATTCAGTAACTGCGTGTGTCTTAGTCGCTTTATTTCCTTGCCTGTGTGAATTGAATCTTAAAAAAATATAAATGTCTTTGAAGCCCAAAAGCAAAAAGTGCCAAAAGTCATGCAATGGTAAGTTAACAAGCATTCTGGGAAATTTGGTATTGGACTTAGTTCAATTTCATTGGGTGTACCAATAATGTGCCTTTGTACCAGGCAAAGCGTACTATACTATTTTTCTTTTTTTTTTGTATGAAATAAATTCTTCAAACTAAAGAGCTACACTTGCTATTCAGAACATCTTATTTATAAATACCCCTTGGTGTCACTTTAAACTGTCGCTTTTTTCTGTATATTTCAAAATTCATATTGGACCCCTGTTTTTTTTTATTAATTAAACAGTGGGTATTACGTCGATTGGTCTCCGCATCCGAGAAATCACATAAAGGAAAAATGCGCTCCCCTGTAAGGATTGAACCTAAACCCCCTTTGTATGTAAAAGCACTATTTGCTCCCGTGTACTTTAATTTTCGTCTACCAGGAACGAGGCAGGAAGCAAGGTTCTATTTTTTCTCTTTAAAGAAGCACATGCTCTTCATCCATATTATTTTCTCGAAAGCTTCATATCTGATCGGTTTTGTATACGAAATATAAACAAAGCAATATATAAAAAATTAATGGATATTTGTGGTGTCAAGGTACATTCATTTCCACTTTTGTGGTGCCAACGAATACTCGTTGTCACCTTCCTGACGCTCGTTGTAGTAGAGACTTTGTAATCGCAGATACAACTATAGTACGCCGTTAAACAATGCTGGTGTCAGACGCCTTCGAATAACACTCGCACTAATAGTACTTGCTCGATAATATTCACTCGATTAGCAATCTGTATAAAGAAATAATATATTGAATATAGTAGAGAATAGCGGTCCGTAGAGTAAAAGAGGATAAATTAGACATAGCGATCCGTAGAGTATAGAGGATAGACTAAAAATGACGATAAATGTAGACGTCACGCGACTTCCTATACTTCCTTCATGGTCACGCGATCCACTTAATTAAATAATGGGATCGCCTGTGTTTGCTCACTGGCGATCTATGTTCAAACTCAGATGTCGGCGGCGACACTTTATTTGTCCGTAACAGTTTTATTTGTAATCCAATATTTTTCTTACTTCAAAATGTACGACTTCACTATTATAACTATAATGAATATTCCATATTTGAAATAGTTCCCTGTTTTTATTATTAAAAACGAAATGAATTCCAAAGTTACACGTAATACATACTGTTTAATAAATAAAAAATGGGGCGTTCATTTCAAATACAAAGTATCCACTATGATGACGTCGCATTTAATCAAAATTTCGGATTAAAAATAAAACTATTAATTCATCAGAAACTTTATCTGAACAATAATTATAAAATATAACATGAGAATATAACTGGAGCATGTTGGAATTTTTCTAAAAATTCATCTGTAATAAAGAAAATACGAACTTTTAAAAAATTACTCACGATATATATATATATATATATATATATATATATATATATATATATATATATATATATATAATGGACTTCAACCCAAATTAGAAAGCAGAAACATTAATAATAAGCGAGAACAAAAAAAGAGTAATCAGGAGGACAGTAGATGGCGGTTGACATTGCATTTCAATTTTTGCAGATTAAAGTTGACTGGAAAGCTTGGAGCCGGAAGTGAATTCACAAGCGAATAGTGCTATTAAAGATACGCTTAGCATAGAACTTACGGTTACAGCTAGCCATCTCAACTGCAAATTAATGAGACTGCGTCTCCAGTTTAGTATTGCCCTTAATGTCTAGGTACCAAAGCGAAGAACTTTAAAGTATTTATTAAAAAAAAAAAAACATATGGAGGCAGATTTTATGGCGGTGAAAATGTAACTGAAGTTGTGCCAAGAGATCAGTCTGAATATGGAATGAAATCACGTCAGTTTTATTTGATGTCATTAGGCAGGCATTGTTTCTAAACAGAGTCTTAGTATTTCTTTATATATTTTTTTCATTTGTTAACCTTTCCAGTAGAGATGCTTTCTTTTTATTCACA